TTGGGCCACGAGCCACACAAACCCAGAAGCATCTGCCAAAGGTCTCAGGCAGCTTGCTAGCATTCTCTGCCATTCGTGCAGCTGTCATGAAGGGAGAGAGACCTGTATTCCCCGGGGTTCCACCAAGTGGATTTCTTTATCAATTCAGAACAATGTGATTAGAACACAAATTTTTTTTATTAGTTCTGATTTTGTCACTCTGAATATATATTTACCAGGATGAATACATCTCCTGCTTATTTTTGCAACTAACAGAGGTGAATAGCATACCTCATGCCACACTAAGAAAGAGGTAATGCTGGAGAAATGAATATAAATCACTCTTTTCACCTAACAGTGGAGTTATTGCTTAGACAAGTAGGTGCCCATTCACCTGGCAATTCCAAATGTCTTGAATATAATTTGTCAAACTTCCATCACTTTCCTTCCTTTCTTGCATATGAGAATCACAATTTCAAGGAAAATGATTTAGTGGCGAAATCTCAGATTGTAGCAGAGCCAGCTCACCTAATATACCAACACAGTTATTATGCTAAAGTAATAAGTTCAATGCACTTGTTAAAAATGTGAACTGCTCCTTTCCACCAACCGAGGGAAAGAGAGAAAAAAAGAGAAAATCTTCGGAAGAAAAATATAAGGGCTTTACTGACTGGTCTTTGTTGCCTTTCGTATTTGTTGTAAAGACTCAGTGTGTGGGAGTTAATTATATTAGTTACCTTGGGTAACAAGCTATTAATTTTGTTCTTCAAAGTTATTAACCACCTTTCTACACACAGTTCACAGGCGAATGAATGGACATAATCCCTGTATTAAAATACAAAACAAACCAAATAATCCCATGTTTCATGACTTCTCAAAGTTGATTATCTCCTTGGCCAGATATACAACCGCCACTTTAGAAAAGGGTCTCTGGCAATTTATATGAGAAGCCCGTGAAAGGGGATTTAATCACACTTTAATAGTAATTCTGATTCAGACCAGACATAAAAGGTCACCAAGGAAAAGCATTTTTTCCCAGTGATTTAACTATATTGGATTAGTACAATTTCTTCTTCCGGCGACCACACAACTCCTGGGAGAGTCAGCTTGTCTGACCCTTTTTGCTTTATACTGCTTTTTGCAAATTTAAACAATTTGGTAGACAAAATAAGTATTTAAGATGATAACATTTACTGCCTCAAGTAGTCTGTAGATTCCTCTCTTTGTGGTCATGTCTCATTCTTCACAGTAAAACATATTACTATTTAATTCTAAAGCAGCAATTTTATATAGATAATGACCTTTATCTCCTAATTGCCAAAGGACATTTTACTTGTTAGAATCATTATGCACGTTTAAAAAAAAAAAAAACTACAGTAAATGAAGAAACTATTACCATCAATCAAGATATTTATCTGCATTTAAGGAGCTCTGTGCTCTAACAGGAGCAAACAGTAGTTTCATGTACCAATACTCCTATGGGAAATCTGCAATGATTTATTTCTTTGATTTATTAAAAGCCTACTTATAGCTCAAAGGTCTCTGACTACCCATAAAATTAGGAAATTATTGCCCTAAAATTAAAAAAATAATAGGCAAATCTGCAAACAGGAAGCAATCCAACAAGATAGTACCTATTGGAAATCACTGCATTATAAAAATAATATGTAAAATGAAATCTTTGAACTACTGTTTAGCAATATACTATGCTTTTATGAAACTCATTTTTTGGTTCCATAGCTGTGACATATATCTCATTTATATAGCCATTTCCTTTTCTTTTAAATTCATCTGGAAATAATGTATATATGAAGATATTTCTTTCTATATGATTCCCTTTTGAAGTTTTCTGATTTCAAATACAGTAAATTAGTGATGTTAGTATAAAAATCAGTAATTTAACAAGGTTATATAAGCATTATTCAATAATTATCGCAGAGTGAACCATTAGGTTGAAACTAAAGTTTAGGAAATTATTCTCAGAATACAATTAAGTGGTATTATTATTATAGTTGAGCTTCAAATAAATCAAAAGGCTAAATATTTGAAGATATGTTTTAGCATAAAAATCTATGATGCAAACCACAGCCCATTAAAATTCCCTCTTCTGTTTTTTTCAATGACATAAAAATAAACAAGTTTATTATATTTTTAAGAAAATAGTTTTGGAAAGTTACTTAAAATAACTGAATGAAAATAAAAGCTTAAGTAGAAAATAGGAAAAGAAAATATTTATAAAAACTGTACATTTATGCAAAGGACCATAAAATATTAATAAAGAAATATAATTTATTCTTAGATGGGAAAGCTCAATTTTATATATTTTCTTCCTAATATAATCTACAGGCTCAGTACAATCTCAATCAACTCAGTAAGAGGTTTTCTTAGGAACAGGGAGAAGGAAGTGTTTCATTACTTTATTTTCCACTGAGCAGAGAGCCTGACACGGGGCTCGATCCCAGGACCCTGGGACCACAACCTGAGCCGAAGGCAGACGCCCAGCAACTGAGTCACCCAGGCGCCCCGTGTTTCATGACTTTAGACTAAGGGATCAAAGTGTAAGAACAGTCAATAAATTTATGAAAATTAAATGTTATTGAATTAAGGACTTTGAATTCTAATAATTATTTTTAACTAAGAGGATTAGTATGCAAAGGATGTATCTGGCAGCACTTAATAATAGTTAAAAACTGTAAACAAACTATTAACATGGGGCTGATTAAACAAATAACGTCTCATCCGTGCAATGAAAACACTCCTTTGTCATTAAGAATGAGAAGTTTCTGGATTCATTTTTCAATGAAAGGTGTTAATAACATATTTTTAAGTGAAAAAAGAAAGTTATAAAAGGTATATAAAATATGATTCAATTTTTCTTAACGTGCATAGAAACGGAGGATATATGTAAAAACACTAAATGTGGTTTTCTCTGCTTACTAGGACAAAGGGTGATTTTTCAGCTTTTATCCTTTTTTTTTTAAAGATTTTATTTATTTATTTGACAGAGAGACACAGCGAGAAAAGGAACACAAGCAGGGGGAGTGGGAGAGGAAGAAGCAGACTTCCCGCTGAGTAGGGAGCCCGAGGCGGGGCTTGATCCCAGGACCCTGGGACCATGACCTGAGCCGAAGGCAGACGCTTAATGACTGAGTCACCCAGGTGCCCCAGCTTTTATCCTTTTTGACACTGGAAATTTTCTGTACAAATACGCATTGTTTTTATAATCATAACATATTATTTTAACATTCAGTGTGGGAATTTATGGGTAAAAAATAATTCAGTAAAATTAAAAGGGAAGTGGATAGAGACAGCTTCTGGGAGAAGAGATCAATATGGCAACATTTGGAAGAAGTTGTCCATCTGCTATGATTTACAGGGGCACTTGGGGTACAGGCTACAGCATGGAGGAATCACATGTGCTTTGATTCTCTAGTTCCATTGTCCACTTTTTGTAATCATTTTACTGCTAACGTCAAGGTGAACACAGTAGTGATGGAGAGTCTCAATTCGTATCAGTACACCCTCCTGGGTCCTTATACTTAATATGAAAGCTATATTTTAATGCTGCATTTGCATACCTAAAATACATGCTTATAGGATAAGTTTATCTCTTGCTATGGTCCATACTAAAATTTGCCCCAGTGAGTTCATATGGGAGTCTTATTAAAGAAGGGAAAAGTATGATAATGTGATTGACTGCTACAATGCATATAGTTTAAATCCTTTTACTGTGGACCTTAGTTTGTCTAGCTCTGATTCCATGTTTTAAAAAAATAGGTGTATGTGAATATTAGCTAATGTGGAAGTTCTACTGAATAAAAATCTTCAGTATAAAATGATTTGATAAAAATAATAACTTGTGGGATATTAACTATGTGCCAGGCATAGTTTTAAAAGCATTTTATGTGTATTAACTCAATTATTCCTCAAAATAACCTATGAGATGGGTGCTGTTATTAGCCTTCATTTCTCCCAAGGGAAACTAAGGCTCAGATAATTAAGTCCCTTGTCCAAGGTGACAGTGCAGGTGATAAACCCAGATTGTCTGGCACCAGAACACATTTTATTTTCTCTTCGTGCAGATTTTTAAAATTGAAATGCTTTTAATTTAGAATAGTTTAGATTGATAGAAAAGTTATGAAAAACAGTACAGAGAATTCCTGTATACCCCTCACCAGTTTCCTCTTTAAATCTTAAATGGTATATTTGTCACAACCAACTGTACACTGATACTTACTAACCTGCACACTTTACTCGGATGTCACTGGTTTTCCCTAATGTCCTTTTTCTGTCCCAGGATTCCATTCAATTCAATTACATTGAGTTGTCATGCTCCCTAGCCTCCTCTGGGCTATGACAATTTCTCAGACTTTCCTTGTTTTTGATGACCCTGACAGTTTTGAGGAGTACTAAGCAGTATTGTGTAGAATGTCCCTCAAGTTTGTGGGATTTTTTTTGTGATTAGACTAGAGTTAGAGTTTTTGAGAGGAAGACCACAGAGACAGTGGCACATTATATCAAAGGTACAGGCTACCAACATGACTTATCTTTGATGATGCTAGCCTTGAAGACCTGCTGAGGTGGTTTGCCTGTTCTCCATTTTAAAGTTACCCTCCTTTTTCCAAGCTCTACTTGATGGGAAAAAGTTACCAATCAAAGCCCACATTTAAGTGGGTGGGGATGGGAGGGAATTAAGCTCCACCCACTTAAAGGGGCAGGGGCATCCACATAAATTGTTTGAAATTCTTCTGCGAGAGCCCTCATTTTTAACCCACTATTTTACATTACAGCAGACATCCTATCATTTCCTACCATTCTGGCATCTTGTTCATGTACAGTAGTTTAAAAACACAATTCTTAACTAATTTCCTGCTTTTTCAAAGGTGCAAAAAATACATCAGAATTAAATGTGACAACCAATAAATTTGTTTAAAATCATTTTCCACCAGCACTGTACAACTTGTCATGAAAGGATGAATTAGAAACCAATTTTTCTCAGAAGCACTCTGTAAAGAACTTACCAGAAATATTCGCTCCAGTTGATCCTGAATGTCTTTCATTCCTGGAAAAGCAGCAACCCCTTGGATCATTTCAACAAAGATGCAGCCGACTCCCCTAAAGAGAAAAGAAAAAAGAATTGTACAAAAGCTCCAATATTTCCTGGTAAATTAAATCTGGAATTAGGACGTCTACTCTTACAGAGGAGAAACAATGAATAAATGACATTCTTAATGAGTACCAAGGGCTGTGCCACATATATCTAGACCCTACTTCTTTCCTTTCCCTCTCTGTCTAGTGCCCTGAAAGGTCTCTAATAGATGCAGCTACACTGGGCTCAGAAAATGGTGGCAACCAATAAAATATAACACTTAGCAGCTCCACCTTACTTACAGGAAACAGTCAAGAAACTCTTTAGCCTGATATAGAAAGCCTTCAGTCGTTTTCAAATACCCCTTTCCAACCCCATTTCATGAATTCTTAATATATTGTCCTCTCAAGCTGCCCAGGAGTTCTCAAACCTCTCTTTGCATCAAAATCATCTGGGGGGACCTTTTAAAAACTGTGAATAATCTGAACACAAACCCCAGAGATCCTGTGTCAATCAGTCTAGGTTGGATCCCAGGTGTTGACTCAGGCTAAATCACTTGGTGATTCAGGGCAGCTACACTGAGGATTGCTGCTGAGCTGGACTGATCTGCCCATGGGCCAAGCATAAACCCATACAGCTTGACTCAAATTGCTTCACTACCTACAACTCCCTCCTTCTTCATTTATTTGCTCTTAACAGATAAATCCAACCCAATTTCTATAACCTAATTTAAATGCCATTTCTTCCACAAAGCCTTCTATGAGCATTCCAGCAGACATAATAGCTCTCTTTATGAGTTTATTTTATTAAGTTCTCATTCAATATATCAGCCATCTACTATGGTCAACTTCCCCTCCTAGCTCAGCAGGTCATGCTCACAGTCCTTGTCTAGCAAGGCAGTCCAACAGATCAGGAGACTTGCTTCCCAGACCACAGCGGCCTGCACCTAACCCAGTGGGAACAACCAATCCATAGTATAGGCAGAGAGCCAATCAGATACTTCTGCTGGGACTTTAACGAACAATCACTTGGGAGAGGGATGGAAAGAAACTAGGATATGTTGATGGGATAAGTCACATTAATGACAGAGCACTAGGAAGGACAGTCTTTTTGCAGATGAAGTCCCCTGAACTGACCTGGTTCCCACCTTCCTAAGGCCTAGATATTCAGATAATCCATTGCTTTTGCTAGCACTCTCTACCTTCTAACAATTCTCCAGGATATGTGTGTGTGTATACATATATATATTAAATGGTTCTATAAGTGTGTGTGTGTGTGTATTAAATGGTTCTACCTTGAATGGGTTTCTATTTCCTGAAAGCATTCTGATGAAATCATGAACATACTGGGATACTTCTTCAATTGTTGCACTCATATTCAACTTAGGGTGAGCAAAATCCTTGTGCCTTTAACTTCTTTCAGATCCTTTAGAGGTTAAGGACAAGGGACTACATCTCTATAACTGCCCCACTTGTTACACAGTTGTGTATAAACCATGTATTGAATTAAAGAAGTAATGCATTTGCAGAAATCTCTTCTCTATTACAGCACATAATTTCTATCCAAAATAAATACCAAAAGTAAAGAGAATCAAAATGACTAAAAACAAATAAATGCTACCTTATATATAAAAATAATTCCATTTAAATAACAAATCATTAACTTTAATATCAGTGTTCTAGGCAGATTGGGTTTAACACAAGTTGTCTTCATTTAAGATTTGAGACACAACATACATTTTGACAATCATTTTATTAGCATACTAAAAATGCAATGATATTCTTATAAATATTGGGGCTTCAGTTGCCTGGTTAGGTCTAAGACTTCAATTTAGTGTCTTTCCAAATTTTTATGCCAATAATTCTTTTCTAAGACTACTGACCTACATTTCTACTGTCTTTTTTTTTTTCAAGATTTATTTATTTATTTTAGAATGAAAGAACACAAGCAGGAGGGGTAGAGGGAGAATGAGAGAGAATCCCAAGCAGAATCTGAGCTGAGCACAGAGCCCGACATGGGGCTCCATTTCATGACCCGAGATCATGACCCAAGATCAGGACCTGAGCTGAAACCAAGAGTCGCTGCTCAGGCGCCCCTCTACTGTCTTCTTATTTACGTATACATAAAGTATCTTGGATCTTCAATAGCTACCGACACCTTCCTTCCAACATTCAGGGTATACTCTCTATTCAGTGTCATTTGGCTGTCGTCTTTCCCAGCACAGGCTGCAACTCTGAGTGTGCAAACCCTCAGCAGAAGCCACAGCTGCCCCCACTGGGTACCCAGCAAGCTGGCGGGTGAGGTAACCATTACACACACTTACAGAAATGCTGTTAGCACTACTTGTGCTTGGTCCAGATCATCTCCATAATACAATATTTAGAACAATTAAAAGATAAATCTATGCTGCAATTTTACTCAGTTGGAGTACGACGACAGAGCATTTCCACAGGTGTTTATCTGCTCAGCTGGCTAAGGGACATGGACTTTCATTTCTAATGGATGTTTCTGATGACATCATTTTCCAAAGCTGTGTGAGGGTATACTAATAAAGCTGACAGAATTATACTTAAAGGATGTATAAAAGGCGATAGAATGCACAAGAAAATTAAAAAGCAGAAGTGTCAAACATATCAACATATTACAGCCTAGCAGAATACTTCATGACGGGAGCTGCCTTATTGCCACACGGCAATAAAAGCCCTTCAATTTAATATGAAGGGACTATTGCCTACTCCACTTTTTCCCCCCTTGCTACCCTCTATTACCCTGCACTCCCTAGCTCTTGATGGATTAAGTGGCCCTGTGGCTTACTGAGAAAGAATTCAATCACTTAAGTTCTATACTTATGATATATAATCTTATTTCAGGAAATGCCTCCTTTAATTTGTTGTTTCTTTTGGCAATTTGAATAATTATGTAATTATCACCCACACAGTCTAAATTTTTCAAGAACAAGAACTGGTCACAAAGCTTACAATTAAAGCTGTCCCAGAATGCGGTGTGTTCAAACTCTCACACACGATTAGTTACCTGGTAAGACAACGTATGAAACACCCACCCACGCCCATGTATCCTTCAGTTCTTCCCAACTCAAAACTGCCAAATTTAATTTATGCTGCAGATATGTGATTTCTTCACCACAATTCAAAGTAAGATTTTAAGCAGAATTGATAATTCTTTTTTTAAAAATATTTATGTATTTATTTTAGAGAGAGTGAGAGAGCAGGGTGTGGGCGTGGAGTGGGGAGAGGGAGACGGAGAGAGAGAATCCCAAGTGCTTAACTGGCTGAGCCACCCAGGTGCCCCAGAACTGGTAATTCTTTGTAATTATGATTATGGAGGGACAACTTTTTAAGGTTGAAGGTCAAACAATCTGGGAGTTATTATTTTGAAAAAGTATACAAAATTGGGGTACCTGTGTGGCTCAGTTGGTTAAGTGGCTGGCTCTTGATTTTGGCTCAGGTCATGATCTCAGGGTCCTGGGATCGAGCCCCGTGTCGGGCTCTGTGCTCAGCGGGGAATCTGCTGGAGATTCTCTCTCTATCCCTCTGCCCCTCCCCACTGCTTGCATGCACACTCTCCCTCTAAAATAAATAAATCTTTGAAAAAGTATACAAAATTATGAATAAAAATTGAGTACAAAAGTGAACTCAGAATGAGAAAAGAAATCAAAAGAAATCATAAATTTTTAAAAGCTCACAGGACAAATAATATTAAATTCAGAAAAATAATGTAACATATTTATTAACGGACATACCTCTCTAATATTTTTCTTTCTACAATTCTGGCTGCATAATCTTTGATTACCTCTTCTATAAGAACTCTAGAATATTTTCTACAAAGAGAATACAGAGGTAACAGTCGTTCCTCTAGCATAATGATGACTTTCTTTTCTGATAGTCTAGTAGAAAAGTTTTCTGTTCCTTCAGCTTCCCTTCTCCTGATCGATATAGTCATGTAAACTTTTAGGACTGTTGTCAATTTGGGGAAAACTATCAAGTTTCCTTCAAGTATGTCTGTGTACTATAAACACAGTAATTCTAAAACATTCTTCACAATTCCCATGATAAATACTAAAGGAGCACAGGAGGACATGCACTTGCACTCCTGAAGTCTAATGACACTAGGAAAGCGGAACATGGTGCTTTATGGGGTGATGGCATGGGAGTGGGAATGGGGCATTCCAGACAAAGAAAACAGTACCCTATACAAGAGGAATCTTGGGAGAGCCAAATGCTGTTATGATGGCTGTGCTCAGAAAGTGGAAGAGAGAGTTAAAAAAAAGAACAGAAGTCCATACATTAGGCTAAGTCTTTTCTTCCTACACTAGGTCTCAGCTTTTTTCTGTATCCTAGGACTCGATGATGGATGAAGCTCACCAACTGGACATACAGGTGAAAAACCCAGATTACAGATCAGGAGATAAAATAGTCTTGAGAACAGAAGCAATTACAACCATTGGTTGTAAAGCCACCTCATTCTTTCCCACTCATGGCAGCAAATGAATGAGACTAGCGGTAGTATCAGCCCTCTCTCTACTCGGGGGCCACACACTCAGTAATATGCAGGGATCCACAGACTACAGACCAAATCCTGCCCAGTGCCTGTTTTTATAACCTATAAGCTAAGACTGGCTTTTACTTTTTTTTTAAAAGATTTTTTTTATTTATTCATTCGAGACAGAGATAGAGAGAGAGAGAGAGCATTAGCAGGGGGAGAAGCAGAGGGAGGGGGAGAAGCAGGCTTCCCGCTGAGCAGGGAGCCCGATATGGGGCTGGAACCCAGGACTCTGGGATCATGACCTGAGCCGAAGGCAGAGCTTAACCATCTGAGCCACCCAGGCACCCCTGGCTTTTACTTTTTTAAATGGTTGAAAACGAAAGATGAATATTTGATGATATATGAACATTATATGAAATTCAAATTTCAGTGTTCATAAGTAAGATTTTATTAGAGCCCCGCCACACATTCATTTATGTGTTGTCTATGCGGCTTTCTCATCCTCACAGCAGAGCTGAATAGC